CTTTCCCTAGACTTTTGCAATTCCAGTAACGGTTCCTCATTCCAGCCCATCAAAACCCAAGTGACCATCCCAACAGCCCATGTTATGCCTTCTACATTGGGTGCCTCGCCCTCCAAGGTGTGCTCTGCGGGAGACCAGAGCTGCTCGCAGAGTACTTCAAAAACTGCTATGCCAGGGTCTGCTTCTGAACACACAGGGCTCACGAGAAATGGAGACTTTAATGCTGGGAAGTCATCTCAGGTGCCACCCAGGGATCTCTTGCGTCTCTACGGGACTTCAGGGGAAAATGGTTTTGAGCAATCCTGGCATCCTGTTTCTGATCACATGAGAACAGAAGATACTTGGAAGTTTGACACCCCTGCCATTGAGCGCACCCTTAACCAGTCTCTCTTTCTGGATAGTTTGTGCACTGACCCTCTCCACAGGTTCCAGAAGTTCAATCCAAGCTCTGGGGCAGCTGAGGCAGGAAAGGACCATTATAAGGTGCTGCCAGAGAGTAAGCAAGCGGCAGGGGCTAACGGAGCCTGTGAGCCCCAGGACGGAACGTGGCCGAGCGGGAGCAGACTGATGCCAACAGGACTCCAGGCCAACAATTTCTTTTCAAAACCTGTAACTCCTTCATCTCGACCATGGATGCAAGAAGCCTGCACGCTACATCCACACGAGAGGGTCTGTGAGCTCAGTGCTTGGAAACAACAGCTGGAGAAAGTGCGATTGCAGATAGAGCAAATGCAGGTAGGGAGCTGTTTGTGTGAATGTATGAGTTTGAAACCCTTCCTGTCTCTTTAGTCATGAATCATTGTCCCAGACTTATGAAGAAATGGGGAAAATGTCTGATGCTTCTCCCTGTCTTACACTGAAAGTCTCTTAATGATCTGGTTTTACATGTGGTGTCACAAGTATCATTTGACATGCTGCTTATGTAGAGCAGCCCTGTATTATGTTGCAGCACTGCACAACGGTTCAGATCAAGAGGTGAAATATCCTGTCCGCTAGAAACTGCAAAGAAAAAGCATGCCAAGAAGTTCTTAACAGTTTCTAGAATAATTGTATTCTGTATCTAGAGTTAGGAAACACTTTTTTTGAAAACATGCATAAAACTAACTGCAGTTTATTAGATGGAAACAGTTTGTTTATCACCTCCCACCAGCTGTACCCTAATGGAGACAAATTGTTTCCAGTGAGCTAGCACAGTGGTCTAAAATTATTTGTTAATCTCCAGTTGTGCTTGGGCAAAGTTACTTGTTATTGGACATCGACAGAGACTGAAATAGCTATGTTCTGGCATGCAGATGAGCACACAGTGTGCAAAATAGCTCTAGCAATGTTGCAATTACCTCTGTGGAGCACAAACCTCTCCCTCCTTGTTTTGTCTCCTCTTTCAGTTGCAAAATGGAGGTGCCTGCCACCATCCCTCGATGTATTCTCCTTCGCTGCCTACACCTGATCCAGCCCAGTGGATCAATATCCTGAACTCCAATGAAAACCTACTCAAGGAGAAAGAGCTTCTCATTGACAGGTGAGAGTTTGATACTGACATGTGGTTTAAGGACTTCAGTGCATTTCCATTTTGAAAGTACCAGGGAAAGCTCATATCTCAGAGTCCTTTTTACCTGATTGAGCTTTTTTTTATTGCAAAGAAGATAATGATCTTTGAAAACAGCTCTTCCCCCTCTTCCTCTAGGAAGTAGGATGGTGGTCCTGAAGGGTTCAAATAAACTTTGGTTATGGTTTTCTGTGTTTTATAAGGGATGAAGATTTCTGTTTACATCATGATTATCTGGAATGTCAAAACTACTGCGTTTTTGTTTGAGGACTTTCTGGGAGCTCTTAGATCTTTATTTTAAATTTGTTCTTTGTGAGTTTGGGCTGGCAAACAACACTTCTCATACCTAACGCTAATTGTCCATAAGCTTTTCGGAAAAGCAAGTCCTCATGAAAACTGGCTTCAGCATTTGGACTGTAAATACTTTTTCTGCTTGCTCATTTTGAGTCCTCTGTTCATTTTGCTCATAAGCTCTGCAGCCAAGCTGGATCCTCCAAAGCATGCAAGGCTTCTGTGTTTTTTGTATAATCCTTGCTGGGGGGGAGGCTTTGAAAGGGAGGGGAGGGAAGAAAAGTTAATACCAATTGTAAAAAAAGTCAGAATGGACATCTTTCAGATTATTTCTCTGCAAGTCAGTTCTGAGTTGCAGAGTTGTCCTTCTGTTCTGCTTGTTGCTGTATGGAGCATTAGAGTTGTGGTGGCACTGTTCATGTTGTATTGCTCTCTAATGTATGTTTGAGAACAGCGTATTACCTGTTGTTTTTTTTTTTTTACAGACAAAGACAACACATATCTCAGTTGGAGCAGAAGGTCCGTGAAAGTGAACTGCAGGTTCACAGTGCCCTGCTTGGCTGTCCAGCACCCTATGGAGATGTCTACATGTTGAGAATGCAGGTAATTGGGTGCAACAGGATGTCAGTAAGAAGTATGTATTGAATCCAACGGCTCTACCACTTCTCATTAGGTGTTTCCTGAGTAGGAGGGCTATGCAGAGTAAAACCGTCCTTTGTATGGGGTCCCGATTACCTGTCATCTCTGAGATCTTCTGTTACTCTTGAGATTTCAAGCCCTGAAAGTACGACGGTTTGTTTAGAAGCTGCGCTAGTGATGCACATGCCCAACAGCACTGACAAGTGCTATTTCAGATACTGCAGTGTATAAGATGGGCTGAATGATGTTTGGGAATTAGGAGGGCTGAGAACACAGCAGCTGCTGCTTAGTGCCAGTTTGTAACTAGCTGTTAGCTCTGACAGACAGAATTCACAGGCTGTCTCTGTTTGCAGGAGCTGCAGCGGGAGAACACGTTTCTTCGAGCGCAGTTCACAGAGAAGACTGAATCCCTCAGTAAGGAAAAGATTGAACTGGAGAGAAAACTGGCTGCTGCAGAGGTGGATGCAAAGCTGATCCGGGAGTCGCTGAAGGAAACTATGCAGAAACATGCAGAGGAGTTAAAGAAACAGGAAGAAAGGGTATGATCCCATTGCTCTAGAGATGGGAAGGTGTTTTTTCTTTGAGAAGCTAAAAGTCAATGTAGTGCCTAGGTTGAAAGTCTTCTGTGGCAATGTGTTATTGTAGATATTTTCTGATCTCCTTGTAGAATTCTTTGGTTTATAAGCAAAAGCCCTTCCTCCTGCAGTTAGAAGTATTTCAGTACCTCTTCTTTTAACCAGAGCAGAAGCCTGTCTTTAGTTAAGTGAGCTGTTGAGTTAGTGATCTTGTATTTTGGTGTTGTGCTATACAAAAAGATAAATGAGTGGGCTTACAGAGGACTGAAGAACGGACGAGAAATTATATAAACTAAACTTGTATATAACTGTCCCTGCAGGTAAAGGGAAGAGACAAACACATTAATAATCTTAAAAAGAAATGCCAGAAGGAGTCTGACCAAAACAGGGAGAGACAACAGAGAATTGAGACCCTGGAACGATACCTGGCTGATCTACCAACCCTTGAGGACCACCAGAAACAGAGTCAGAAGGTAAAACTTCCTCTGAGCTGTGATGGTAACTCTTCACGTACTTGCTCAGGTGGCTGTTCTACAGCTGCAGATAATCCCCTGCGCAGCTGCCCAAGTAAAGTTGTGGTCTGACCTTTTTGGAGGAGGAATATTCTGAGCTATAGCTGAAAGTTGCCACATAGGTAGTAAAAATCTGCCTTGCGAATATAGTTGAAACATGGCGTGTGTGGTGAAACCCCTGGGAGGTCTCTAGAGTGTTGTGACGGTCTTTGTTGCAGCTGAAGGAATCTGAACTGAAGAGTACTGCTATGCAGGAAACGGTGCTGGCACTGGAAACGGAGCTTGGAGATGTCCGGGCTGCTTTCAGGGAGCAAGAGATGCAGCTAGAAACCCAAAAACACAAGGAAATGGAGCTTCTTTCCACTGTGCGCAGGTAAAAATCTGGAGGATGAGAATAAGCTTCATCTTAGCACTGACATAATTGCTTCACAAGAACAGTGATGATTCAGCACAGACACTGTCCCACCTGTCAGAACTAGGTTACCATGGATTTGTGATGATTATGTGAGCGCTCGCCAAAACACCGTGTTCAAACTCTGCATGCCAACAGTGGAGGGTGGGAGCAGAACTAGATGGCTGAAAGAAAGGGGGCCTCTGTTTTGTCACCTGTGTTTGTCTGTGTCCTCAGGTTATTGCTCTCAACCGTAACTCCTACGTAATCTGCAATTGTTGCATCTCTGCATATGTGCCAATATCATGGGCAGGGCTGTGTCCAGGGAGAGGGACTCCTTCCTTCACAGCCCTTGCAGTTTGCAAGCTGGGATGCAAACAGGGCAACGCTGACACCTGATATGAAAATCATTCACTGCCTCATATTGTTTAGTGAGGGAAAGACTCCAAATAAAGCTGGTTTTCCCATGGTGTTCTGCGAATTTCAGCTTGCAGGACAAGATGCAGCAATGTGTAAAGAATGCAGAGAGAGGACCGCCTGCCCAGGATGCAGAGAGACAGAAAATAGAAAATGACTCTCTGAAGAAAGAATGCGACTGCCTCAGGAAGGTAACAGGCTGTCCCAACTGGGAATCACACATTTTTCCTTCCACTGAGTCACACCAGGCACTAAAATGAAATCAAGGACTTTCGCAGTCACAAGCAGTCACAATCACAGTGAAGCAGCAGTTCCTGGAATTCCAAGCTGAGGGGCTTTAAAAGCTGTTCTTGGTGTGATAACCATGCACTCCTACAGTAACACTGGAGAGAAGTTGCAGAATGCACAAGAGGGGGGAATAAAACCACAAGAATGCAACTTCTCCAGTCTGTTTTTGGCTAATACTTCTAATGGTGCCTTTTATCAGGTGCCTTTCATCAGGGAATCTGAGTCCATTACTAACAGAGGCAGTGATTAAAGCAGTAAGTGAACAGGAAAGAGGAGGAGAGGGGTTGCTGTCATACTGAAGGAGAAATCCTGAGTCTGTGGCCAGTTCTGATGCCTCTGCTTTTGATTCCAGATTGTGGACAAACAGCAGAAGAAGATGGAGCAGCTGTCGTTGCAAGTAAAGGTGAGAAGTGACTGTGGAGGCACCTAGAACTTGAGAATCTGCTGTGAAGTGAGTTGGACTTACTACTTTCCCTTGGTCTCTTCCAGAACCTGGAAGAACAGGTGGCCCAGGAAGAGGGGACAAGCCAAGCTCTGAAAGAGGAGGCGATGAGAAGAGAAAATGCACTGCAGCAGCTCCGGACCGCTGTGAAAGAGGTCAGAACAGGAGCGTTTAGAGTTGCCTGAGCATAGCAGTTGAATGCACAATGGATTGTCTTTTAGCAAGGCCCTTAATTTGCAATCAGCAGCACAACCTCTTCTGCCTCCTGCTAGTCAGTTGCCCTGTCAGTGCTCTGAAAGGAGCTCTTCTCTGTTCAAAAGCAGGAGGAGAAAGGCAGTTTCTGCCTTGGGAACTTCAGCTGGGGCTGCAGGTTGTGGTGGAGGACACTGAGTTTGCCAGCTGGGGGCAGCAAGGCAGCAAGCAAGAGTCCAAACTCGTCTGCAGCCCTGGCTGAAGGGCAGGGCTGAGCCCCACTCTCAAACCTGAAGGAAGCCAAGCACAATGGCAGCCCTTGAGGGAAGGGATGGCTAGTGTTGGGGTGCGCAGCTGGTGCACAACCTCCTGGAAGCTTATTTTGTTGCACCATGCCTCAGCCAGGACAGTGCAGTGTCATGGGGCGCTTCCTGTCTGAGTCAGGAAAGCCGAATGCTCACACCCTGTAGGACTGACACTTGCTCACGTGGCGAGAATCTGGAGGGCTTGATGTAAACCAGCTCCTCCTGCCCTCGGTACTCCCACCATCATCGAGCAGTTGCGTTAAGTTGCTTTAAGTGTGCTAGTTCTGTACCAAGTGACCACTAACCTGCTGTGTCCGTTTGTTCAGCTTTCAGTGCAGAACCAGGATCTCATTGAGAAGAACCTGACCCTTCAGGAGCGACTCCGGCAGGCAGAGCTAACAACCCAGCCGCTGCCTGCTGAGACAGCCCGCCTCGCCCAGGAGTTGCACAGCGAGCTGGCCAGTTGTCTGCAGGATTTGCAGTCTGTCTACAGCATTGTCACTCAGAGGGCTCAGGGCAAGGATCCCAACCTGTCTCTGCTCCTAGGCATTCGCTGTAAGTATGTGGAGTGATGGCAGAGCAAACCCTTTGGTTCCTGCGCTGTGGCAGAATTAAATAACTCACATATAGCATGGAAAGTTCTCATCTTTCTGGGATTCTGAACCTTCTTTCTAGCTTTAAAGGTGCATAATAAGGTGCATAGTAATAACTAAGTGTTAAGTAGTACCTCTTTTGCAAATGTTGTTTTTTCTGGCTCACTTGCAAATGTGTGTGATCTTTGGTAAGAATTGCATGTGAGGTAACTCCCTTCTCTGACTCTACAGCTGTGCAGACCTCTGCTACGGAGAAGGACGACTTGTTGAGCCCTGATGGACTTGCAAAGAAACTGGTGGAGGTAAAACAGCTTCACAAAGAGGTGGAGGACTTAAGGACAGCAATATCTGACAGATATGCTCAGGACATGGGAGACAACTGCATCACCCAGTAAAGAACACTCCCCAAAGTAAGACAGGAAATGAAGACTTGAAACCCTCAGGAGTCTAGAGCTCCTACAACCCAAAACCTATTCAGCACTTTACCACCCCTTTGCTCGGGTACAAGATGTGTGACTTATCCAATCTGTGAGAAATCAGGGGGTTTGTTGCCAGAAGTGTTTAGCTGCTGACTGGCTAACTGGAATCTTTCAGGGCTTCGGTGTCGGGCTTTGCAGTAGCTTTGATCTTGTGGAATGTGTTTATGCTGTGTTTGCTGGAGCTGGTGTGGTCTCTGATGCTGGGAGATGAATTCTGAATTGCCTTCCAGGCATGTCAAATGCTGAACATGCAAATGTGACAGTTAAAATCATCACTAAAAGGAAATGTATGCCCTGGTCTTTCTGATACATTCTCTGTGCAGATCCTGTGTGACTAGTAAGACCAGAGGATTATCAGAGTGTTCAGGGAATATCTGTGGACTTCCTAGGCCAGCAGGCGTGCCAGTTATACTACTGCTAATTACATCAAGGTGCTACAGGCTCCTCAGATGCTGTGTGCACCGTTCTGCCTTGGATGCTTGTGTCCTGCTTCATGGAGCAGGACCTGCTTTCCTCAGGTAAATGCAACTGGAGTCTTTCAGTAGCCAATAGGAGTTGGGGAATAAAGCAACACTAAAAGACGACTCTGAAAACGCTCCCCCTGGGCACTGTTACCCCAGAAGCCTTAAGCCTTTTATCCCCCCGAAATAGCACTCTGAGTGTGGGTATGAATCAGACTGCAGAGGAAGTGGATTGATGCTGAAGTGCCTTAATGTGCTGGAGAACCCTCCTGTCCCCACGCTGCTTTGTGCCTAATGCATCTGCTGGCAAGGTGAGGAACTGCTGTTTCTTGTAGCAGCCTTTAGAGCCATCTCAAACAGTCCTGGGGAGCCTTGAATGTCTGCAGCCCCTGCCCCCGGGGGACCCTGCTGCAGGCCAGCAGGGAGACACGCCTCTGCTTGGCACTCTGCTTGCTAGGGAGAAAGCCATTCTGGTCCTAACATGGCAGGATGGTACAGCTGGATCTGAGAGCTCTTCCTGATGCCTGCAAGGCAGTGACCACTCAGGCTTTGTTGTAGCCCTGCCCCTTGTTCTCTGGGAGCTCCCTGCTCCTCTGCTAAATAATGAGATTTCTAAATAAATCGGGATGTGGCTCGCTTTGTCACAACCCTCCTTAACCTTAGTGGCAACTTCACAGTATTGAGTGCTTGCTTGTGACAACGCTGTGGTGCTGAGGGTGGAACTCTTTTGGTTTTCAGCTTGAGTTAAGAGCCAGTTAAGAAGTTGTTATATGACAGGGGGAAAATACTGTTGAAACTTCTGTCCGTTTGCTTGCTCTTGGTTCACGTTGGGGCTGCGAGCCCTAGGTTTTGGAGAAATGCTTTCGTTATTCCTTTGTGTTAAAATTTAAGACCAAATCTGTTTTGTTCTTAGCGTTTGGCCACCACGGGTGATGGTGGCAACAAATTGGTTAGTTTGCTGTCCCGAACTACCCCCTGCACGGCAATGGGAGAGAGCGCAGCAGTGTCTGCTGGGCAGCCAGCTGTCTGCCCTGTTCTTTCCGCATCCCGTGTATTACATTTCTGGCTGTGTCTGTTCCCAGGCTGCTGATGCCATGTACTGAGCTAAATGTGGGCCAAGGCTATTTCTTGAAGTCATTTGTCCTGGCTGCTGGGAGCTCTGTAGGCACTGGGGTGCAGAGCAGCACCAGCTGTGGAACTTGCTCCCTCCCACAGGTTAGCAGGGTGCTGTTCAGCACCATCCCCTTTTCCCTGCATTCTCCTGGGGTGCAAGCAGGAGATCTGGTTCCCAGGTGTCGTGTGAGGACATGTTTGCCCTCTGCCCCTGCAGAGCTGGCTGCGCAAACGGGATCGCGGCTGAAACCCCATCTCGGCTGATGCTTGGAGCCCCCGTCCCAGCAGCTGGGCTGCCCGGGTGGGGAGGAAGAATGCCCCCACCTCATCCTCCTGCAAAACTGGACCTGTCCAGCTAAGATGGTGATCCCATCTGCCGTACTCATGCCTACCTCTCCGTGCGGGGGAGATCTGGGGTCTTTCTTCACAGAGCACCCCGGAGAGGGGAGGCAGGACCACGGTCCCACCCTGTCCCACGTTCTCGCCCTGTCCCGGTTCCCAGCGCTCTGCCCGGTGCTGCGTGTCCCCCCAGTTTTCTCCTCACAGGCTGGGGATGCTTTGGCTACGGAGTCGTTCCTTGTGCATACACCAGCCTTTGTCTCACCCACTTGTTTGTACTGAGTATTTTGAGTATAAAATAAAGCTGCTCTGCTCCACTCGTGCGAAGCGGTGCCGTGCGGAGGGCGGGCCGGGGCCGGGCTGCCCGCTGGGGGCGGTGGCTGC